GAATTTTAAAGAATGCATTTATTCTATTGTGGTTTATGCGCTGTCGGCGAAGTAGATTTAATTCAATCCAATAAGTTTAAATGAAATGCAAGAAAAAATGCGTATAATTTAATATTCCGTACAAGGAAGTCATGTGGTGTACACATCATATTTTTTTAAAAACAGATTCTAGAATTTTCTTTCCTTTCCAGTCGCTAACAATAGATAATTTATGAGGTTTTTCGTGGTCGTTTTTAGTGTACTAAAATTATTTATATAAAAATCCCATGCAATTTTTATAAATACTGTTTAAAAGTTTTTTTTTTTTTTTTTTTACTCACTTACATTGATAAGTCATTAAGCATTTTGGAGCAAAATATCTCGAAAAATCAAGAAAACTGTCGCCGGTAACTGCATCTATGCTTACAGTTTGCCAGTTAGATATATTGACGACTAACTTAAGTGGGGACTTCTATATATTTCTTAATCATTTGTCATATTTTTTTTTTTCTATTCAAAAGCCACGGTAGAGGTTTTACGCCTTTTGGAGAATCAACTGCATTTTTCCCTATATTCCCTTCTGGTTCTTTTAATATGAGATTTGGAAATGTTGACCGGTCTGATGCCGTAGTCTAGTCAAGCCTAACTGAGTGTTGATGGATTCACAGATAACATTAAAATACGAATTAAATTAAGAAACAAATTGATGAGCGATAAGTTTCAGTATCATGAGCTATCTATAAAGCTGTAATCTATAATCTTAGATCTGTTAAATTACTAAAATTCAACGTTTTCTATTGACAAACTATAATATAGTTTCATGTTACTACAATATGTAAGGTTACTAATGTCATTAAGTTTATGTGAGACCCAGCAATTTGCTTTTGTGACCCAATGCCAGGACACGACCTGGCATTTGGGAAACGTTACTGTATGACAGTCTGGATATAATTAGCACTCTTGAAAAATTTTGAGAGGACTTAACACATATTTTTATAAATTAATAAAAGTTTTGTTTCTAACAGCATATTTCACTCACTTAAATGGATATACCAGTAGTTACCTGGATCTGCAGACTTGGAGAGTATGGTAGCAAAAAAACTGTATTTAAATTTAACATTTTTTTTCTTTACTACTCGTGTTTGATTAAATTTGTATCCGAATTGTATTGTAGAGACATTAGATATTTTTGGAAGTAGGAAAGATGAAAAATATGCAACGCCTTCCCCGGGAATAGAACCATGGACCTCTGTAATATGCGTCCAGGGTGCAAATCACTACGGCATGTCAAGAAGGTAGGAGAAATACCTTGTATACTTCTCCTTTTAAAGGGCGTTTGGGGTTTTTAGGGGACCCAATCGCCAAATCCTGGGTGTGGAAAATCATCATCCAACACCTTTTAGTTCGGGCGCCACTGTAGAGACATTTGGTATTTTTTCGGAAGCAGGAAAGTTGAAAAATATGCAACGCCTTCGCCGGGAATCGAAGTAAGGACCTCTGGAATACGCGCCCAGCGAGCAGACCACCACACCACGAAGGCATGCCGAGAAGGTAGAAGAAATACCTTATAGTATCTTGTAGATTCTATTGCGTAGCACGAAATGAGAAAGCATATTTCTAAACTTTCGTTGTTGGAGATTCAGAAAATCTTTTAACTTTAGGACAAGGTAGGATGAATATTTATCCAAATTTTCCAAATTTTTTTAGAGTTTACTTACCGAGAGCTCCTGTTGGAAGAGTACCAGGAAAATTCTATTGATATTTTAGGCCAAAAAGGAATATTTAATTTTGAATAATGTAAGTTTAATTTTTATCATTTCCCTAAATTTTGAGCATTCTTTCATTTCAAAATATTATTGTGAGTTTTATTTATAAAGGAGTATATGTGCAGGGAATCTCAAAACTACAGTTGAAAAAAATGAGTGGAGGGAATTAGCGGTTCGACTGAGTGGATTTTTCTTCTATTCGCTCCGTTCTCATACACCAGTATTCCTTCTCTCCCCGTTCTCGATCTTATTCACCAAGGTTATTGTTAGTGAGAGGTGAGTTCTAAAAACGAATCGATTCAGTTTAGTGAGCTAACGGTTTTGATCTAATCCTATAAAAGAGCAGTTTTGCTCATCTCTAATCCCAAGGCTTTAAAATTAATAAGGACTACGAAGCTTTCCATCGAATATCAGGAAAAGATCAAATCCGTTCATGTCAAGAAATATCATTCTTAGATTGACATTAGTTTTACTGAAAACTGTTGTCGAACTATGTTTCTAGAGAAGCGAAAACTTTGCCACATCACGTAGAGTTTTCGCTGAAATTTTAAAAAGTACCAGTACGCAATTATACAATAATCGCCTTGAAATCATAATCTTAAAATCTCATATGATCACAAATGCTATTCTTCCCTGTTTAATTTATGGAATTTAAAGATTTATTTCCAGGACGGAAGTTTAGTAAAGAGCATTAACAAGTTCGAACAGATTTTTGAGCTTGAAATTCTATTCAAATGTTTTAAAATGAGTAAAACAATGAAAAAGCATTTTTTCCTTCAAAAAGATGGATAATCTCGCAAGCAGTGCAATAGTTGTTTCGTTAAAAGTGTACCGAATCAGCCAAAATTTTCAATTCAAAAGAAATCTTCAATCTTTTGGCATTTATAAAATTTATTACTAAGAACCACAATAAAAATATGAATTATAACTTAAAAATTTCCTCGTACAGCTAGACAAAATATAAAACAAAATTCTAATATCAAAGCAATCGACAGAGTCTTCTCGCTACTGGAGGAATACAAAGATACAAAATAACAAATATAAGATTTTGAATATAATAACCCAATAACTTACCTAGAAACCTTCTTGCTTCTCAATACCTTTCAAGATAACTTTCTGTAATATTTAGAAAGAAAACTGCATGACATTCTATTATTAAGTTTGACCCATGAAGACCTGAACTTTTAATTGTAAAAAATATTGGTAAGCAAAAGGCTAAAAGGCACACATTTTTGCAATCATGCTTTAAAGGGCAATCATTTTTGGGGTTAAAAGCAGAGCAACTGCAACAAGCTTCCCAAAAAGGACCTTGAAGACAAAATCAATCACGAAAAGTTGGTTCTTCCAGAGATTAAAAGATATTCCATTTTTTATATCCTATTGATATTTTACGATTGTCTACCTATGTATAAAAATTTCATTGCATTAAATGATATGTTGCTGTTTAATCATTTGTAAAATTTTGATGTCCTTCTTTACTAAAATGACTGTGCATTTGCAAACATATTACAATTTCATGTTCTAACGGAAAGCGATCATTTCCCTTTTTGCTATGTTATGCAGGTATTTGTACTCATAAATCTCGCTGAGGTGAAAATGCTATTTGATATTGTGTACTGAATGACAATTTCAGAGTTAGACACATTGAGTTCTCTCTCATATTTATAATAAAGTTCATCTAAATACTTTTTATCCATAGTTTGCTATATAGAGTATACGGTTAATTATATTTCATCATCAAAAATCGATCTTAAAGTCCTTACCGTAAATAAAAATGAAAGCAATGCAGATCCATTTCTTCGTGTGGCGTTCCGAGAAACGACTAAGTGAACTGCAGCTTCCAACAAGCGATTTTTCCGGCCATGCATTAGATAAGGTTACATCAAATAATCCTTAACTTAGTATATAGGACGATTTACCAAAGAAACTTCTGGAAGGAGTAGGTCGAGGAAAAATAAATCGAAATTTTGGGGTTTTTAGATCATTATTAAACACCATTTTATAAAGAATAAATTCTTTTACTAAATCAAAATATATACAGAGCGTCAAAATGACATTAATATGAGCGATGAACAGTGTACACGAACTTAAAAAAAACAGAAGTGAAGATTTCTTTTTGACAGTCCCGCAGAGTTGAACTTCTTGGCGCGCATGCGCTAGATAGATAGATAGAAAGAGAGAGAACAGGACGTGATGTCATCTTCAAAGTTGAAGAAATATTGGGGGAAGGTAAAATCCCACAGAATCATCTAGCAATACAAGGTTCAGGAACGACATCTTTATCCGTTCTTCATCACTCAGGTATAGAATTTAATCAGATTTTTTTGGTGGTCCATTCATTAGCCTGTGTACTTCTTCTGGGATTACATCAAAGGACTGGTGCATGATATCCCTGTTGAAAGTTATAGTACCTTGAAGCAATCATTTCTGTGAATGCCTCAGAAGTCCGAGACATATTAGGAAATTTCCAAGATTTACGCGAGTCCGTGCGCCGACGATATCCAGAGTGTGGTGCAGTTTTCATGGTTGCACTTTTGTACATCTTTTGCAACGTCAATGCATTTCACAAATGTCTTGCAAGTGATAAAAAGGAATTTTTTCTCTTAAGTGTTACTCTTTCATTTCTCGTCCGTTCTGTACACTAACATATATGAACACTGGCGTAGCTAGAGTGGGGTAGGGAGAAATACCTGTCTCCGGGCGCAGCATCCAGAGGACGCTAAGTTGTTATGAAATTTTAAAATAAAGTGTTTTCCATTCTTGGCAAGCAGAAGAGGGGAGCAAAATTTTCAGTTGTCCCTGGGGGCTAAACTATCATTCTTAGCTACAACTCTTCACAAGAAGACTTTTTTTAATTCTGCATTCCTACATGTCTGAATAGATATATCTACATATTATTCCGATATTTCTTTGTGAGATATATCTGTACCAAAAGTATGTTCTCATTTAGCAGAAAAGCCCTGTGTCTTTGTGAGATATATCTATACCAGAAGTATGTTCGCATTTAGCAGAAAAGCCCTGTGTGTTGCAACCAAAGTCTGCAGACGGTAGTATAACAAAGTTGAATGTAAACCCAAGAAATAGCGGCAGCGAAATGCAGATGTGGCTAAGTATGGATATTCTCTTGCTTTGCTCTTCCATTTCGAAATCAATGTAAAATAACATTGTTTTCACAATAAAATAAATTATAAATGTTACATGGCGGTTATAAATCAATTCCTTTGATTAAATAGGCTGAAAAGAGAAAATTCTTACTTGAAGCAAATGTGATCCTAGTTCTTTTATTGCACTTTCTAAGGGGTTTGGTAGCGGCGGCGCTGCTCCCCAACCATCTCCCAGACCTAGGTTAAAAAAAAGATAAGAATTATTTTAAAACTATTAATTTAAACTCTATTACAAATATAGTAAATAAAAAAAGATCGAATTTCTGTTTTTCCCTTATTATTTCTTATTTTTTATTCTTACAGAATCTTGTGTTCTTGTTATATTTTTAGCGGAAGTAGTTTAAATATTAGTCGATTTCTCAATGAGATTACTTAAAGGCATTACCCTCCTTTTCAACCTTCCCTGGTATTCAGCGGATGATAGTAAACACACAGAGAAGCTTAGGTTTGAATCCCGAAAAAAGCACGATGTTACTGACTATAATGTATTTACAAAATAATGTCACTTTAAATTGACTGATGAGAAATTTCTCTCGGGAGGCTTTGAATGGAGAGATCTTAATTAAATTTGGTATGAATATACATTTATCACAGAGAAACAAATGTACCATTCAAGAGTTATTTTATATCCGTATGATTATCAGTAAAGTTCACTGAGCAGGGATATCAAAAATCAACGTCGTGATATCGATCTGAAAGTGAGTCTAATATAGCGTATGGTCCCCTCTCACAGCCAGACAGGTCGCACAGCATGATGATATTTTGGACAGCAGACAGTTGAGAAGTCCCTGTGGCAGTCGATCTCACTTCTGCAGCAAGGCATTTTTCAACTCCGGGGTGGTTCTCGAAAGAGCATGGCGAGATGAAATTGCCGACTCACGAGTATCCCTGACATGCTCTATAGAGTTAAGATCAGGAGATCTGGCTGTCCAGTCTATGCGGAGAATATCTTCATTTCCATGTAATCGTCGACCATCTGATCAATATGTGGACGAGGGTTGTTGTCCATTAACAGGAACCCAGTACTAACTGTGCCTCTGAAAAGTCGAAAATAGGTCTGTAAATTCTCCCCTTTACACCCCAGAGAAGTCAGGGAGCCTTTGCCAAGCACATGCCAGGGATGCGTGGTCGTCCAACATAATGCCTGCCGAAGCCATTACATTTTCACCACCGTAAAGATCCTTTTCCCTGATGAGGGAGGGCTTGATGAGGTGGGCCAGGCTCTCCCCGAGAATCACTGCCCAGACAGAATCTTGACTCATCCGTAAAAGGCACAGCAGTCCACTGAAGTCTGGTCCAAGGCGCACATTGTCTGTACCATGCTAAAGGCGCTGTCTTGTGTGCTGCAGTGAGCGGGACGCAAACAGTTGGTCTTCTGGCACATACCCTATCTAATGAAGCCTACGAAGAACTGTAGATACTTGTTTTCCAGGAGTAGGATACAGGATAACTGTTTCCACTAATAGCAGACGACATTGGGTGTTACATTGAGCTGTATAGCCACCTGTGCTTGGGAGTGGCCTGCTTCCAGTCTACTGAAAACTCTCCATCTCCTTCCATCATCCGTACTACCGTGGCTATTTCTTTGATCTAATACCATATAAAATTTACTCAACTTGAAAGAAATGTGGCTAATATAGGGAAGGACTACGTGTACGCTTACATACTCGACTTTGAATACTTGCATAATTCTTTTGTGGCATAATTAGTGTTTTTTAATAATTTTTGTAAAAATAGACGTAATTTTAAAATTTTCTTAAATTTAAACACGATTGTAGTTGAGCAAGCGACAACCTCTATCTGGTGTAAATATGAAAATAATTGTATTAGGGAGAAAAATACAGTACATGAAGCTGTAATAGAGGAAGGAAAAATTTATTTAACTCAGACTGAATAAACGGTATTTCTTTAAAGAAGGTTTTAAATTTTTGGATAAAATGGCCTATGGATATATAAGTGCATTGTAAGTATGCATATCTAGGTGGTAATCATGAATATCAACGTGCGTTACCAGCACATTCATCTAAATCGCCTTCTTTATTTTGAATTTTTTTTCATTCACAATACGTTGGAAGTTCTCTTGCAGAACAAAATTTCCATACTTTTAAGATATATAAACAAAGCCGAGTTGACAGTTTTTCTCAGATTCTCGCCTTAAATATCTTTTTTCACCTTCGTATGAATATTCAGTGCATTATACTTTAATTTTAAAGTTCCAGATGTCAGATCGGAGTACAGAATAATAATTGGTTTTCAAACAAATCGTGTTAAAATACAAAGTTAAATCTTAATTTGGTTTTTATTCATTTAAATGTAGTTTAAAATATAATATTTATCAATTAAAGAATAACACTTTAAACTAAAAAATACTATTTAAGTATCTGTTTATTGGCTAGATTTGTCACTCAATGATAATTTTGTCTACGTCTTTTATCATATCTCTTGAAATGAAACAGGTTTTGTATAACGATTTCATCGATAAGTACTATTTTGAGAAACTGCATCACAAAGAAAGACATCAGTTAAGAAAAAGATATTTATTGGAAGGAGTACATATGACGTAAGATATGAAAGATTAAACTATTAAAACTGTAAGTCAGAAGGAACGTACTAAATTTAATTCTTAGTTATCCTTTAGTACCGATAATAACTGATCACATATGGCATAGTCATGACTGATATGGATCTGAAATGCATATCTGGTGAAATGTCATTCCAGATTGAAACATGTTTGCAATTCATCAGTTGCATCTGCTCATAATGACATACGGCCAACCATCTAATAATCATATCGCACGTATGTTAAGCGGAGTATAGTCCGGTGAAGATGGAGGAAAGAAATTGGTATTTAATGAAAATTAATGGTTGCATAAAAAAAATTTTCAGCAATATTTGCGAAATGGTCAGTAGCATTATCTTGTTAAGACATGGTTTTGTAATAATGATAAGATATCTAGTTCCAATACCACATGTAATGCTAATTGTTTTCCATGTAACATGTAATGTTAATTGCTTATTTTTGACTGTTTATAGTGCTGCAAGTTGTAAGCGAGACCGCGAATGAGATGTGATAGCACACCACATAATGGCGCTGAAATTAAGGCCACTGTGATGCGCTGTAATACAGCTTCCCAGACGGTGATCCCTATGGTGTCACCGAACAAAATTTCGGCCGAATTGTACTTAGAGTCGTCGAAGATGATTTCTCAGATTCACAGTCATAGCGTTCTTCGTTCTCTACACCATTGCAATTTTCCATGTTAGTGGTAGGAGGCCCACGGAAGCTGCAAACGAGTTCTACACGTCCTTAATGCAGTAAACGTTAACGAACAGTATAACCAGATATCTTCTTCTTATGTATTATTGTTCTGTTCTGTTGTACTAACTTTGTAGAAGTTTAAGACACAATAACACGCCGAATAAATACTAATTCAGAAGTCAAACAACAAAAATCAGCGTTAATTTGCAAAATTTTCACAGGACTAGTTTCGATGGTTTTACCGAACCATCATCTTCATCATCGAACCATCGAAACTAGTCCTGTGAAAATTTTGCAAATTAACGCTGATTTTTGTTGTTTGACTTCTGAATTTGTAGAAGTTGTTGTACGATCCGTTGCCGTTATGCTTATCTGGTGTTTTGTTTTGTTTCCAGATCTTTAGTACCAGTAGGTTTTTCCATTCCCTTAATGTCAATGCTTTAAAATTTCTACCAGCCAGTGTTTGAAGTATGTGGAACAGTACTATTGTATTTTCCATGGCCTACTGTGATTTCACGGGGCCAGAAAGCAAATTTTCCCAACTGTACGATTCTTCCTCTTTCCGTCAGTTATTAATAATGTTGTCTTGCTCTGCTTCGGCCCATGCTTACAAACTGCCAATGCAATAAAAATTGATTTCAGCAATACAATGGATTTACAGTTGTCTATGTCAATCTCCTGAGTAGGTAAAGGATCGCGCGTGTATCCCTTTTGCCTTCTTAATTAAAAATGTTATCATTTGCATCTCTTATGATAGCTAACCCGTGCACCAAATTTCAAGTCTATCCAATACCCTTTTTTGTTGTTGTTGCAAATCTTCCGAACAGCATGCTATATTCTTGTTGACTGATATTTTTATTACATCTTCAAATTCAGTTAAACCCTCTTAATTAGCTAAATTAAATTTTCTGTAAGAATACACCTAAGGTAACAGATTAATACAATTTTCATAAAAATATAAGCAATTTTCATTGATTTTATATAACTAGAAAACTGGTTACATCTAATAATTTCTACCAGCCAGTGTTATATTAGCTGAGTTTTACTTCTTGGATGTGCACTAAATGTTCGATTTCAAAGTTACAACTTCGAAAAACATTGATAGCAAATAGCATATTTAGTATAAATGTAGACACTAAGAAGTTCGTTTTGAAAAGAAATATTTTATCAGTAGTGAAGTTCACTATTCTAGTGAAGGATTTTTAAAAAATAATGTTTGAGTTATGTTATAGCAAAATAAAGTGTGTAAAATGGTAAGTGTATTCCCCTCTTTTAAATGAAATCAGACGGAAAAAACATCAAGTGTTTTTTAATGCAACTGACTTCTAATTTAACTAATCGTATTAAACGATTATTTCGGTTTAACGACTCATTCCAACATTTTCCCCATATAAGATTAAACAAATATTCTCAGTTATTAGGTATTGCCTCAATTCCATAATTTATTCAAAATTTTCAAATTTTTCCATTTTTGGACTTTTTAAGAGAATTTTTTTGAAATTGGCCATACAGGAATTTCTTTTTTCTTTTTTTTTAATTAAACTGTAAATGTAACTACAGATATTGGATATAAGATTAGTTCAGTCATTTTAAATCAAATATCGAGAATTATCATTTAATTTATTAATATATATTGTAAATTTGGAAAGGAAATCCTAGACATTAATGTTTAAAGTTTCTGAAGTGAAATGACATCAGATATTACTCAATTATTGATTTTAAAAGGCTAGAGTGTGACATCAAATACTACCAGTCTTTGAATTTATAAACCTGCATTTTTTATTATATTGTAAAATCGCTAAAAGAATATATCTATCCTCTGCCACACAGAATTGTAATGACGATTTTTTCAAAGAGCGATGTGAAGTTTCATAGACCAATTCAATTTCAGAGACGAAATAGAATAAAAAGTTACATT